AAAAAAAAAGGTTGAGAAGTTAGAGGGTTGGTATGTTCTGGGGTTGTTAACCAATGTCATAAAACAACATGTGTACTTCTGTTTCATGAGAAACTATTTGTTCTTTAAGCCTTCACCTGAAGTACAATAAAAAAAAAATAAATAAGAAAGAGCTACTACTGATATATATGCAATAACATGGATGCATATCAAAGGCATTATGTTAAGTGAAAAGAGCTAAACACAAAAGATTACCACTGTATGATCCCATGTATATGACACTCTCGAAAAGACAAATTTATAGTGACAGAAAGCAGATTAGTGTTTTCCAGGGGCAGGGGTGGGAACTAACTGGAGAGGGAAAATGCGGGAGTTTTATGGAGTGATAGAAATATTCTATATCATAATTATGACATTGGTTACATTACATAATTTGTTAAAACTCACCGAATTATACACTTAAAATTGGTGAATCTTGTTGTATGTAAATTATACCAGATAACGCTGATAAAAAATAAAATCCTAGAACTATTAAAAGGATATACAATCAATTTTATAAAACAAAATAATACATAAAAAGGATAGTATAACATGATTACAAAAAAAAAAATCTCATTTCTGTCCAGTTGATTCCAACCCATAGTGACCTTATAGGACAGAGTAGAACTGCCCCATAGGGTTTACAAGGAGTGGCTAGTGGATTCGAACTGCCGAACTTTTGGTTTGCAGCTGAGCTCTTAACCACTGTGCTACCAGGGCTCCACAACATGATTAGGTGGGGTTTACCTAGCAATGCAACACTCATTTAACATGAAAATCATTTGATCTAAATTCACCACATTAACAGATTAAACAGTAAAATCATATGATCATTTTAATAGGTCAGTGATTCTTTTTGTCCTCTAGGGGACATCCAACAATGTCTGGAGACATTTTTGGTTGTGACAACAGGGAGGAGGAGGTGCTACTGGCAGCTAGTGGGTAGAAACCAGGAATGCCATTAAAAACTCTACAATGTACACACAGAACAGTCCTCAGTTGAGAACCACTGCTCTATATTCTACTTTTTCCACTCAATACTATGTTTGTGATAGCTATACATGTTGTTATAAGGCACATACATCTGGTATATTGCTTCTTGCTCCATAATACCTCATAGTAAGCATTCCCTATATATTTCTTATTCATCACCCTGGTGATAAACACCTAAGTTTCTTCTAACAACACTCCACCACACACAAAACTGCCCTGCAAATCAATAGGTCCTGCTCCCTCATGGACCTCTGTGAGAATTTCTCTGGAGTATATATTCAGGAATGAAACTGCTAGGTCATATACACGCTTAATTTTGATAAACACTGTCCAGTTACTTTCTGGAAAGGCTGAGCCAGTTTACATACCATGGAGAAAAGAGTTAACATAGCAGGCCTGGGACTACTACCCTTAAAAAGGCCTGCTTGCAAAGTTGCCCCTTGGCTGGCATCTGGGAACTTGGGTTTTGAGAGGGTTCCCTATATTCCCTCATAATAATGGCCCACTGTGCCTAAACTATTTGTATAAACAATGTGCTTTCTATTAAACATTTTCTTTCCTTCTGGGAGTCTGGAATTTTGGTATGTGCTAGGCAGAGGGTGCCTACAAAAAAGCCTTAGGTACTGATTCTGTAATGAGTAGTCAACATGTGTTGTCACAAGCTGTTGCTGGGGGAATTAAGTGCATCCTTCTTGACTCCACTGGGAGAGGACTCTTAGAAGCTTGTGCCTATTTTCCTCCAGACTTTGCACATTGTGCTTTTTCATTGTATTATTTTTGCTTTGTATCCTTTCACTATAATAAATCACAGCCAACTACATGCTGGATCCTATGAGTACTCCTAGTGAATCATCGAACCTGGAGATGGCCTTAAGGACCCCCTGACACATATTCCCATAACCAAAGCAGGAGAATTTCCAGGAATGCTTATTTTTAGCTGCACACTTTTGTCACTTGAATTTTGTATTGTGTACATGTATTACCTATTTAAAATAAATACTTCATAGAAAGGGAGACAATAGGTATCAAAGCAAATAGGTCACCTGTGAATGAGACCTGAAAGATGTTAGAGAACCATAAAGGTCATGCAGTAAAACCTTCTCATATTCTAGATGAGCAAATTGAAGCCCAAGGAGGATAAGAGGCTTGCTCTAAGTTACCCAGAAAGTCAGTTACAAATGCAGTATTCAAATTCTCACACTTCTATTTCTAAGTAATCATTCCTCTAAGTCACAAGGCCACTTTTCCTACACTTGTCACTTCCACCACCCCAGTACTCTCCCTTAAAGACCTTCAGGGGACCATTTTCCTGTTGACTATACCAAAAACAAAACCAAAACCAAACCCATTGTTGTCAGTCAATTCCAACTCATAGTGATCCTACAGGACAGAGTAGAACTTCCCCATAGGGTTTCAAGAGCTGCTGGTGGATTTGGAACTGCCAACCTTTTGGTTAACAGCCAAGCTCTTAACCACTGTGCCACCAGGGCTCCTGCTGACTACAGTCCATCTTATTTCTCAGATTCCTCAATTCTCCATGCAGAAAATATGTTCAGTGTCCCTAGCAAAACACTGGGTCCTATGATAACCAAACCCAATCCTATTGGTAACTGTTTGGAAGGAGAAGGGAGGTGAATGGCAAAAAGAGTCTCAGGACAAATCTCAACACCTTTGCAAGTCTTCATACCTTGTCAAGGAGGTCAAAGTCAAGGTCAGAGAGTAAACCATCTCCCACTGCAGGACAAAGAAGCTGAGCAGGACCAGACAGCTGAGACCTTCCTTCTAATGCTTCCTAACCTCCCTTAGACCCCTTCCCAAATGGGGAAGGCACTTACATGCTCCAGGAAACAGGGTCCTATCTCGCTGAGATGGGGGTCATCATTGTTGTACTGTTTCTCCAGGTCTCTCACGAAGCCCATCTGAAACCTGTAGATGTCTTCAATGTTCCCAAAGATCACCTTCAATTGCTCATCGCTGAACATGTCTCTCCTCTTTCGACACTGTTTCAGGTAACCCTGTAGACAAAGGAAAAGCCCAGGCTGAGGATTTCCCCCACTCCCACTTCCAGAGGAGTTTACCACTTCTTAAGCATTTGGGAGCCTCATTTCAGTTCCATGAGGTAGGCAGGGGAAAATCATTTCCACTTTCCATACAAAGAAATTGAAGTTTAGAGAAGGAAGTCATTCTACCAGTGAGTAATTCAGATCACCCTGTGAGTAATAAGGAAAGCTATACAGTCAGCAAAGGTGTTCAATTCTAGAGTGTAGGGCTTTGCCCACCTTTCTCTCCAACAAAGACCCCAAAAGTCATAGGGCCCTTTTCTAGAAGCTGATTGAGCACACATATTTTCGCTTGTCTTAGTAGCTGGATCTGTTCACATCTCTAAAGTGCTGTTCCTTTAAAGGACCAAATCAAAAGGTCTTAATAACAATTGACAACAATTTGGCAACAGAGGCTGGGGCAGGAAAATTTCCCAAAAGGGAACAGGAACTGACAAAACCAAACCATTTATTAAAGTGAATGCCTTAGCTATCTAAGGCAGCTGGCCAAGAGAGATCATTTGCAGAGCCATCAAGCTCACAAGTGCCTAGACATGGTGTTTTTAATAGGATAGGTGCTCAGGACATATTTGTGAATAAATGGATGAATTAATAGACTAGTCATTGGTGACTATAGCCTTCAGTATGGATTACGCCTCAACATAAAGAAAACAAAAATCCTCACAACTGGACCAATAAGCAACATCATGATAAATGGAGAAAATACTGAAGTTGTCAAGGATTTCATTTTACTTGGATCCACAATCAACGCCCATGGAAGCAGCAGTCAGGAAATCAAACGATGTACTACACTGGATAAATCTGCCGCAAAAGACCTCTTGAAAGTGTTAAAAGCAAAGATGTCACTTTGAGGACTAAGGTGAACCTGACCCAAGCCATGATGTTTTCAATTGCCTCATATGCATGACAAAGATGGACAGTGAATAACGAAGACTGAAGAAGAATTGATACCTTTGATTTCTGGTGTTGGTGAAGAATATTGAATATAGCATGGACTGCCAAAAGAATGAACAAGTCTTGGAAGAAGTACAACCAGAATGCTCCTTGGAAGCGAGGTTGGTGAGACTTTGTCTCACGTACTTTGGACATGTTATCAGTAGGGACCGGTCCCTGCAGAAGGACATCATGCTTGGTAAAGTAGAGGGTCAGTGAAAGAGAGGAAGACCTTCGACAAGATGGATTGACACAGTGGCTTCCAACAATGGGCTTAAACTTAGCAACGATTGTGAGAATGGCGCAGGACTGGGCAGTGTTTTGTTCTGTTGTACATAGGGTCACTGAGTTGGAATTGACTCAGCAGCACCTAATAACAACGTCTTTGATGAAAGGGAGGAGTCTTTGAAGATGTTATCAATTAACACGAGATCATAATGGAGTAGGGTGGGTCCCAATCCTATGACTGGTGCCTTTATGAAAGAGAAGACAAGACACAGAAAGACACAGAGGGAAGGTGACCACAGAAGCAGAGTTGGAGTTTTGCTGCAACTGCAAGCCAAGAAATGCCTGGGTCTACCAGAATCTGGGAGTGACAAGAAAGGATCTTCCTCTAAAGACTTGAGAGACAGGATGGCCTTGCTGACACCCTGAATTTGGACTCCTAGCCTCCAGAATCGTGAGACAATAAATTTCCATTCTTATAAGCCACCCACTTTCAGGTATTTTGTTACAGCCACCATAGAAAACTAATACAGTTTCTTGGTCTGACAGAACACTGAGATGACATGACCAGATTCAGGGATCACTGCAAGTCAGGGCAAAAAAAGCCACAATCTAAACTGGGTCTTCCATTCTGAACTTAGTTGCGTGGATTTTTAACTAATAGCTACTGCCTTCATTTGAAATCATAAGCACATGAAAATGTTCTTGGTGAGAATGAATTATGGTCACTCCCTGTTATGGACTGAATTGTGTACCCCAAAAAATATATGTTGGAATTCTAACCCCTATACCTGTGGATGTACTCCTATTTGGAAATAGGGCTTTCCCTGTTATATTAATGAAATATCAGTGTGAGGTGTGTCCTAAACTTAATCATTTCTGAGTTACATGGAGCAGCAGAGACACAGAGACAAGCAAGCACCAACAAGGGGAAGATAGATGCCATGTGAAGATCACCAAGAAACCAAGGAACACTGGGGCTACAGGAATCAGAGACAAAGATCCTCTCTCAAAGCTGACAGAGAGGGAGCCTTCCCCTATAGCCAATGCCCTGAATTCAGACTTCTAGCCTCGGAAACCGTGAGAAAATAAATTTATGTTCTTCAAAGCCACCCACCTGTGGTATTTGTTACAGCAGCAGTAGGACACTAAGTCATACCCTTTCATCTAAAATCTGAGTGTGATTTTCTTAACACCTTTCTTAAGTGTTGAGCCCTAATGAGGAGTGTTGCAGTGACTGCACTTCTGGCCTTAACCTTCCTCCCACTTTGTCTCTCCTAGCATACCTGCCACTTAGGTCATCTGGGCATTCTTCAGAAAGATCCTCATCCCTGGCTTCAATGCCCATCACCAATATCTACCAAAATCTCACTTTCCTTATCTCTTCCCACCCTCCAATCTGCCGTTAATTAGTAGGTATCCTTCAACAGTTGGCGAATTAATAGATAGAGCCTGTGTGGTCATCTATTCAACCAATGGTTGCTGCTCTCATTGACTGACATCCTCAAGGTTTCCTGTATTCTTTTACATTCAACTTTTGACTAGAAAGAAAGATACCCTCTATTATCAGAATATCTTTTTGGCTTCATTCCCTTTACTGACGTAGCTCCCAAAAATTTGCCTCCCCAGAAAGCTTTCCATTCCTTGACTAATAAGGAGAGAGGCACTAAAGTCCTATAGGCCCCTCCTTGTCTAATATGTAACTCTCAGGACCTGGCTTGTCTGTCTGCCTCTCTCTTTCTCACCTTACCACCTTTTGAAGTGTATTAGCTAAAGTGGAGCAAAGAGAGCAGTAAGTATATCATCTGGCAGGAACTTTTCCATCTCAGCATTAAACAGAGGAACAGAAGCTTCTTCAGCCCTGCTTCCATTTTTATTCCCTAAGGTGTGCCTGAAGCACTGCTGGAAAAAAATCAGTAAGAACGTCACATCAACATGTCACTTCTGGATAAGCTGTATGTACTGGTGAATGACCACATTTGGAGACAGAAGAGGACACCTTGGACAGCTCATTCAGCCCCTGGGAAGCCAGTTCAGGAAACATTAGTCATATTCACTGCTCTCATTTGAAAGTTCTCAGGGACGGAACCAATTACCATCAAATCACCAAAGTGTAGCAAGGATGCTAGAACTCAACATTATCATGAAAAAGAAGAAAGAAGTTCTGGAAAAGAGAAACAGATGGAGATATCACTGCATTCCCCAAATACTCCATGCATTGTTCATGTCAAGTAAATAATTTTCTATTAGGTCATATATGTTGTAACAAGAGAACATAAAGCTATATATTAGGAAGAATGTAACTGCCTATAGGATGGTGGGATCCTAGAGTGTTTTGCTAATTAAAAGTTATTCTTTCCCTAAAGTTGTTGTTAGATTTAATATATTCTGGTACATTTAGCTTGATGGAATATTATATAGTCATTAAAAATTATGATTAGGAAGACTGCGTAGAAATATGGAAAAGTGTTTATGATATGTTAAAAGCAGAATACAAAATGGCATATCATCCTGAGTACAACTCTGTAAATACATCCACTCCTCACTTATTGACATAGTTAGGTTCCAAAGACCAGGTCATTTTGCAAAAATCGGTATTATATGAAAATGGAGGATGACCATATCAAATCACAAAATGGAGGATGACTACATCATTATACAACTGCCAAATTACATCATTACAAAACTACCAAATCACATCATTACATAACTGCCCAACCACTGAGAATCATGCCCTAGCCAAGTTGACACACAACCTTAACTACCACAGTGAGCATTACTCTCACCTTGCACCTTGGTGTTTGTTACTGCCAGACATAAGTTGTTAATGTACAAATAGTTTAGTAGATTTTTTACTATTGTCATAAATGCACAATGTCGGATAACAAGATAGTGGATAAGTGAGGAGTAGGTGTACGTATATATACATACGTACAGACAGATTTGAAGGGATTATGCAAAAGTGCAGACAGTTGTGTTGTACTTGGTGGATTCTGGTTGATTTTGTCCTATTTTTAAACTTCCTTTAATGCTTTTTTTAATTGATTTTATGATTAAAAATGGGAAAAAGTCTTTGCCAGAGTGCCAAGAAAAAGAAAGACAGATAAAAGAAGGCTGCCTTGAGTGCAATATAATCAAGGAAAGGGGGGAATTCAATATCTTTGAGATCTTCTCCAGCCCTAGTGTTTAAGATACATGACTTACTGAAGTGATTACAAGTAACAGAAAATTCCCTTATCAAGGAAATAAGGGATGAAACATAAGAATATGGGAGCAGTCATAGTACTCATCAGCCCGTACACCATACAACTGCTGAGGCTTCTAGGGGAAAAATGGTCAGGAGAGATGACTGGTTCCCTAGATCTTGCTTTTATTTTTCAACCCCTTTTCGTGGCTGCCCTGAAGACTATCAATTCCACAGAATAGATTAACAGTAGCTTGGCTTAGGGGTAAATCAATACTTGTCTCTTCTTATTCACTCATTTTTGAAGATATGTAAGTTTAAGATGAGCTGGCAGTGGAATGCGACTACCATAAAACCTAATGTCATTTTAAGTTGGGGAAAACTAAGAAATGGATTGAGGGCTAGAATGAGGGAGGTGATAGGAAAGTAGTTATACCTCTGCAGGAGAGCAGCATTCAATTCTGAGGCCCTCTGTTTTCAGGGGAACACCAAGAAAAGGGCACAGAGTGAAATGAGTAGGGTCGGGAGGAGTTGAAAGGCAGTACCATGTGGAATGGGTAAAGGAGTCATGGCTGTTTGCCCTGGAGAAGAGAAGGCTCAGGGAGCTTCTGAA